GACGTTCGACGAGTTCCACGACGCCGGCGGGGACCAAGGCCTGATCGCCGGCTCCGCGGGCCTGCTGACCAGCTCCGCCATCACGGCCGTCGTCGCGGTGATGACGGCGACCATGCTGCTGTTCAAGTTCGAGGGCCACGAGAAGCCGACGCGGCTGGACCTGGCGGTCGGCTGGGTGCCGCTGGTCCTGGTCGACCTCGTCATCGTGGAGTTCCTCGTCGGACTGGCGCTGTGGTACGCCGCCAAGTACAGGCCGTGGTGCACGGCGCTGATCGTCGCGCAGCTCGTCGTCATGATGGCGGGCACGATCGTCATGGCGGTTTGGATGTGGAACTCGATGAGCCTGAAGGGCGGCCTGGGCGAGGAGGAGCGCAAGACGGTTGAGGGGACTCAACGGGTGGCAGATGAGTAGTAGAACATCTTGAAAATTTTATTGATTATCAAGAGACTATCGAAGCTCGGCATGTTTGGAGTGACACGAGCTACTTCCCGGCCCCGGATCATAGCTAAGATACATGACACACACAATCAAGGCCATTGCCACATTTGGAGATAATTCAAAACGTAAGGCTAGACGCTGCACTGCTGCATGATGAGGTGTGGTCTCTGAGGTATAGCTGGATTGCGGAAGCCCGAGTGAGATCATGAGTCAACTCAATATTACAAGCATAGGTACGTACCTAAGTTTAATGTTAGAGTGAGGATAGGGGCAAACTGGGAACGAGCGGACTTTGTCCCATGTCCAAGGCTCCAGGGAGGCGAAGTCCCTTTCCTTCCCTTGACTTTCGATTTCCAAATTATCCGAGGTAGCTTTGCAGTGGGTGGCCTATCCAAGTTGTGCGCACGAGGACTCAGGTAGTATTCATGGCCCATTCTTTTCCTTCGGGAAAATGAAAGCGGGGTATTTCGCAGGTTAACCTAGTGTGTCAGATATATACATAAGAATATCGATAAACTTCTCGCTTATTACATTAGAAGCCATAAGATATCTATGCAAAATGGAAATGGTTCCGCTTATAACCATGGTACCTAGGTATTGCTAACGTATCCATGTAAATCCTTAGTTAATATCGTTATTAAAATACTAAATTATATTATTTATTCCGATATGTAAATATTTTAATTAATAATAAAAGATTTTTATAATATTTTTATAAATAATTATAAAATGTTATTTATTTAAATAAAATTCTTTAATTTAAATTTTAAAATTATAAATATATTTTATTAATATTTTTAATATTATTAAAATGATTAATTAGGAATTATTTCGTAATCCGGTATGTATTGACTTTGGGCGTCTTGGTCCCGTACCTTCCTAGGGGTATGTAAGTAGTATTATGATAGTGGATAATGACGGGGTCTTTAGCGCTCCGAAGTGTTAAGCTTACAGGGCAGTTAGGGCCTAATTTTGCGAAAGACTTCAGCTAATACAAGTCCTTGCATCAGTCCCGAACGACAACAACCTTTGTTTCTTTATCACGACACGTAAACAATGAACCAGAAATTTTTAAGTTTATTCATTACTTTAGTTATTTACCCAGGAGTTGGGCTATGATTTTTTGCAATCTTCTCATACTCGCGAAACTATGCGTTTACCCGTTACTAACTCAGATTTCGCAAACGAAATGCGGACCCTCTCCTTCTAGCCCGGGGATAGTTAGATGCCTATTCATCATAGTAGCAATGGGAGTCGGATCAATGTGGCCTGTCTGAGGATCTCGCTTATTTACCTGGAGCCCATGCCGTCCTGTCTCGTTGGTAATGAAGACATATTTCTGCTGGGGGTCGTTACTAAGGCAGAAGGAACGCGGATGCTTGCCTCCCGTCATCGTCCTGCCAATGTAATCGAGGTGGGGTTCGTGATCGGGAGGAAAATCGCTAAAAGCGAAGCGCGCGATGTGGTCCGTCTCCTTGTCCGTGCCCCGGTTCGAAACGTACACGGAACGCTGGTCTCGGGAGACTACGAGCTCGGCCGGACGCGATGTGCAATTGTCCGGCCCGAGTGGGTACGTGTGCTGCCCCCCGAGCGCCCTGAACCAAATGTGGTCCTCCTCGTAATGGGTCTCGTAAAAGAAGAGCTGGCTGCTTAGCTCTGCTACCACGGCTAGGTAGTGTGTTCCGCGGTTCGTGAGGAAGGCGACATGGCGTGGACCACTACCCAAGGGTACGCGCTTGCTGCCAATGATTTCGAAATCGTCGTTCTGCGAGTCGATAATAAGGAGTCTGTCACTTCCGAAGTCCGGTATGACGAAGTAGCGGTTCGTTGGATCTATGACAGCTTGATGCGGGCGATTCTGGTTTTGGCCGGGGCTTGGTTCGTATGGGATAGAGAGGCTCTTCATAAGTCTGAGACTGCCATCGGCAGCTGAGCTATCCCATATATCGATCCTACCACTGAAAAACGAAGCCTCGACGATTCGGGTCTTGTCGGCGTTGAACGCGAGGTGGACGCCCCCGTGGGAACCCTGTGCGCGACTGGCAAATATCGGCGCATCGGCGTATAGCCTTGTCATGTACTTTTCAATATCCCTTTGAGACTTATCGACCCCCCAGTTGTGCCGGCGCCTATTTCCCTCGGGTGAATAGTCGGGAACGATGCGAAGGAGACTGGTATTGGTGTCTAACGGGTTAATGGCGTACAAGTAATTAGGCCACTTGAAGAGAACCCAACTCGGCAGCCAATCCTCTTGAACATACCTCCCTGTGGGGATAAACTGGGAACCGTCGAAGCTGAAGACAAACAGCTGATTCTTGCTGCCGACCAGGAGCTTTTTCAACTCAGCCGGCGGATTGCCTTGAGCAGCCATAACAGGTGTTGTTACTAGGTATTGCTTTATTATTTTATGCTAACAAGCTTTTTAAAGTGAAGATGGTTAAAAGAAATTTGCCCTTGTGCACCAATGGCCAACTTCATTAATTCTGGGGATATTAACATCAGACAAATAATAGTAGGAAATCAAGTGGCACAGCCGATATGTTTCTAAACTACCTCAGTTGAGAGTCAGAATTATTATGGTCGAACATGACGCTCGTATCTAAAACATGTTTGAAGGAAGGTTCCAGTTTCCTTAACGTAACGTGTTTGCCTAACCTACCAGAGATACTTGCCAAAGAATGACATTCTAATATGGAACCAACTTCTCTAGGTAGTCTTCTAGCTCAAAAGGCACCTGTCAATAATCATTCAAGGGACATGCTTGATGGATCTAGCGGACGCCATTCCTTGAGTAAGACATTGTTTGTTTTCTTGACTCTTTTTCTCTGTTCTTCCTAAAGTGTGCCTATCCATTGTTCGATAGATAGAACTTACCTCTGGTACCTTGTACAGATCATTCCTTTTCCACTCACTTACATATAAATTTGACGCCTTTTTTCAATTAATTCATACCCTATTGTTCAGTGACGACGCCATCACGAAAAATCTCGTTCATGAGAGCAACTCGTCGTGAGCCTCGGACGAAAAGCATAGGCCCTAAGATTGGCCCCATGTATCTGAAAAGCGCACGTTAAGTGAATACCAACTTTGACTGGCAGCAGTCGAGTAAAGACAAAGCATTACACAGACTACCTTGATGAAGTCCGTGAAAGCCGCAATGAGCCAAATTACTTGCCGCAGTTCGTATGCACTATCTCCGAGCGGCCCAATTTGGCAGCGGAAGTTCGCACGATGCACATCGTTCAGGGGGATTGCCTGTGGGGGCACCAGGACCGGACAGACCTGATCGATCCACTGTTTCGAGCTCGGCATTTGAAGAAGCTGCAGCCGCGATATGCAACAAGCGACGACTATCTCGAAGGCGAGTCGGCAGACTGGAGCGAGTACACGGGGGAGGAAATGTATCTGTGGCTCGTTACTCTCGCCATGGTTCTTAGGCCGCGCCTCGAGAGCTTGCTTCTCGCCATTGACGACGACGAAGACACAGCCGAGTTATGGACCTTGGAGCGCGCGCCTCATGGAAATCCCATCTCTCCGCACGCTTGGGTTGGTAGGGTACGTGTTTGACTACCTCTTCACGGAGATCTAGCGCTATCCAATGTGATGAAGTTAGCTATCTCAGACTTGATCTCACGCCACTTGGGCAATCTGTTGCCATGTATCCCGCGACTGGAAGATCTGGAGTATTACTGGGACGCCGCGGAATAGGTCGACATCGTAGACTTTGTGAAGCGTTTAGATCCCGTCAACGATGCTTAGGAGACTCTGCGTCGAATTCCTGCCACGCAGCCCCAATAATAGCTTGTCCGATCCGTTCCCCACGTGGATCGCCCCACCGACAGGAATTTGAGAGCCTGGAGGACTTGGTGATCAGTTGTCACTTGATACATCGAGAAAGCGATCGTGATGAGGCTGACCGGTCTTGTCGCATTGCTTCCGAAGTCGACTCGGAAGCTTCGCATCTCGTACTTGTATAAGGGCATAGAAAAATTCCTGCGCCAGCTGGCCGCGGGTGCGCCACTCGAGTTTCCATTCCTCAGGGACATCGTGAAATACCACTACAGCGTCAGAAACACGATCGCTCTTGGGCTGTGAATATCAGGTTCTCCTTGTAGACGGGTTTCTTGGGAGTGGACCCCAGGACAATTATTCCCGGTGCAATGGAAGACTCGAGAGTAATTCCTGTGCCGCGGGTTATGGATGCGACGACGAATTTCTTGAGTTGGGGTGTGATTAGGCGAAGACGAGGTGATTATGGAGTTGTTCTAGATTTCGTCATAGAGCCGTCTTCAAGAAAGTGTACATTCTACCCCCTGAATTGTACGTAAGACCCTGTTAAACGCATACTGAGTCCCTAACACCTTTCGCACTTATCAAACCCCTTGAACACATCACATTGGAAAGGTAATCTAATTCTAAGAACATTAAGTGCTGCGGTTTTCCCAGAGCTATATCATACAATATAGGTCAATAAGTGGAGGGGCAGTGACGTAGGAGGGATTATAGGCTATTGTTAGACTGCTTTTGTTCAATGATCCCTACAAGATAATTATGGAGTCAAGCCTCTATAGCTCAGTGGTAGAGCGCGTCACTCGTATCAGTAGAGCAGTATTGATAATATGCGACATGACGAGGTCCATCGTTCGATCCGGTGTGGAGGCATAATGTGTCATGTCCTGGTTGTAGAATTTTTGATGTTCAACTTTTCTGATTTCACATCGCACTTTCTCTGATAGATGACTCTTACATTTTATTTTACTTGGGTTATGCATATATGTATCCTCACACACTAACAAAGCCCAGAGACATCCATGCACTTCCAGCTAGTTGCTAGATTGCTGTCATTAACACCGTCCCATTTACTGACCGTCGGGTAAGGACAATATGCTGGATAGCATATTAGCTAGTGTCAATCCGGTGGCTATCATTGTTTAAACTCAAGACTAATAAGGGGAGACTTACTTCTTTGCGCTGTAATGTTGCCTCCAATGAGGTCGTTTTCGTACTTGGTGCCGACCAAGGTTTCTGGCGCCGTTCCATTTTCGACCCAGTCGACGAGCGCGAGCAGTGCATTGTGTTTAGAGTTGAGCAAGGCCTGGTCGTAAGGGTACTTCTGCACGTTGCCTATGCTCCATGCTCCTAGACCTCCCGAGCAATGGTTCATCCCAGGAAGAAAGAACAAACGATAGAACTCATGAATGTCTTCGATGGTAAGATTAAGGCTACTCTGCACACCGGTGAAGAACTGTTCAGACAATGCAGAAGTTACGGTCTGAAAATAATGTGAGCGAATACCCTGGGACCTGGGCAAAGCCCACTTACCTCGTCATTTCTCCCGTGGTACGAGATGATTTTCCCTCCGCCCTGGTAGAAACTCGATAGATCGGTCTCACCGGCGTTGACTTGACCTGGGTTGATCCGTATGGCGGTGTCCATGTCAAACTCGCTGAAGTTCTCTGGGGTCCAGGAGCTAACGTTATAAACCGCGCCGCGCCAGAAGTCCTGCAGGATAGTGTAGCTCAATGATGCCGTCCCGTTTTCTTGGTTATCAGAAAAGACGTTTGTATTTGACCCTAGCTCAAACGAGGGATACACGATATGGCCTGAGGTGTTTGCGATCGGCTCATATGCTCTACGCACCGATGCGATCTGCTGAGGACTGAGGCATAGCGAAGAATTAAGGAGTCCAGTGCCGCAAGCCAAACTTGCCGGGTCGAACCTGTGCTTGGTTGGCTCATCAATGATACCGTTGATCACACCATCCAGTGCATCCAACTGTTTGATCTGAGCCTCGACGATAGCTGGCCACTGCTCAGGACGCACATATTTTGTGTTGAAATAGAACGCAAGTTATGAGTGTCATTATAATTATATTAGAAAGATAAGTCATAGGTATGTCTAAGAGGGCCTTATGCCCTATATATATATGCTATTATAAGTATAAGGCGTATTAGTTTCTAGATTATATAGTTTTTATTCTAATATTCTTATTTAAATTATACTTATATATATATTTATTTTTATAATTTTATATTTTTTTTTTTATAATTTATATATAAAATATATAAATATATAAATATATATATATATAAATATATATATATATATATAATTTATATAAATTTAAAAAATATATTTTTAAAAAAAAATATATATATATATAAATTTTTATTAATTATGATTTTTTTAAAGAGTTTTTTTATTTGTACTTTTAAAAGCTTTTATCGGGCTTTTATTTACATTTATATATATTTTTAAATCGGGGGCGATAAAATTATATTTATAATTTTAAAATTTATATTTTAATAATTTTATGAAATTAAAATGTAATTTAAAATAATTAATATTATTTAATTTTTAATTTAATTATAATTTAAATAAATTAAATTATATTATTATATAATATTATTTTAAAGAATAATATTAAATTTAAAACTTTTTAAAAAAAAATCATTATATGATTACGTTTTTAGAGATGTAGTTTTATTATATATTTAATAATTTAATATATATAATTCCCTATAAAAAATTATTTAAATTTATAAAAAATTTTTATTAAATATTTCATTTTAATATTTTTTAAATAATATCATTTTTAAATTTATATAAATAATATTAATAAAATTATTAAGGTTTATATATTAAATATATTAGTTTTTAAAAATAAATAAAGCATATTATATAATTAAATATTATATTAGATTTTTATATTTAAATATAATTTTATATTTAAATATTTTATAAAGGTATAACTTAATTCATTTAAATCGCAATTAAATTAGTAATTAAATAATCTTAATTATTTAAAATTTAAAGCCGATTTTATAAAATTATTAAATTATAAATATAATTGCGTATGATAGCTAGATATGAGGTTTTATCGGCACCGATTTTAAAATATATACGGGTGCAAATAAAGACCTAATAGGAATTTTTAGGGGTGCAAATAGGGAAACTCTTTTTAAAATATTTTTTAATATTTATATTTTTATTTAATTTATAATTATAATTTTAAAATATTTTTAAATTAAATAAATATATTTTTAAATAATAATT